CTGAAGACAAATAATTGAACAACGGTTGGGATATATGAAACCGATTGGTCATCATGTTACCAACACGATCAGTTCTTATGTCTGCTCATCCAGTGATCGGAAACGTTCATTACTCAAATTCTACTTTTACGGCGTCAGAAATGTGTTACTAAAATGCAATCAATCACAGAGATGAGAAAAAAACTGTCTGGAACAGGTCCATTTATGCGAATCTTTTGAGATACAATTGACGAACAAACCCATCCGTGTGTATGCGGTCAATAATAGTTGTCAGTTGAAACGGATGCCGTTCAAGTTCTTCACTCCTATGCGCATCTCAGCTAAATGAAATAACTGTGGAGTGATTCATCAGCTTCATGTGAATAAACGAGTTAGAAAGTAATTGTGCATAGACCTAAGTATCAGGGTGTATTGTAATTTTAGCATTCATTAATCTGGCTGCTAAAAGTGTCATTATTTAAACAGAATCTGATCTCTTTTCCGTATTGTAATTGGCTGGTATGAGTGAATTAATGATTCATCCTTTTCAGGCAATTCACCGATCGAATGACACGTCCATTCACCGTCCGATATGATCCGTACACCGAATCGATTGAGGCATTCGATTCACTCAGCGGGGTGAAGAAATTAGTCAGCAATATGACATATGACCTGTCATTGGTGCAAGAAGCATTAGACAAACTCGTGATGGATCCCAAAATAGAGCCAATATGATCTCCTTTCTCGTCTGTTTCTCTCTCTCTCTGTCAATCGTGGCACACTGCAACACGCCAGTTTCTTCGAGATGAAGCGAGCAAAAATTATCTCATGTGATTGAATCCGATCGTTTGTTTCACCCACTTCAAATGTTTCCTTTCATTGAATTACTGTCCCCGATCATGATGCAATTCCCTCTTTCTGATTGCACTTTTCAGTCTCAGATTATATTGATTTAGGTAAATATTTGATGTACCAGGCAGCATGAACTTGTCATTGTGGTTATTATTATTATTATTATTATTATTATTATTATTCTGTTACTGTGAAAATGAAAGCCCACAATCATGAACTAAGATCTTCGTACTTTTATTTTTTTATTCTGATCTTTTTTGATTAATTCCTATAAGAACCGACAAATAGAAATCTTCAAAAAGCATCCTATGATTTTCACACTGGTTGATTAAACATATTGGAAAGAACCAAATAGAAGGGGTACAGGCTTGGACCACGCAGTTCAGTTTACTGGAGCTCGTCTGGATCAGAAAAACTGTGTCCTCAGGAATTCTGTCAAATAAATGCAGTTTGAAAGAATGACGACCATCTTCTTGAGAAATCTGGTAGATAAATTTTCATGGACTACGATACCTGACCATTTCCCACGGTAGCCCTCTCCTCCTCCTCCCGTCGGAAAAAAAAGCCGTGAGTGTTTCTGTACTAATCTCGCTGCAACATTATTCCCGTCTAGTTGTGTGAATGTAATGTAAAAGGTTGTCTGCCCTGGGACAATGAAACCGGTACATGATATCCATATACACGAATGAGTTCCGCATATCTCTAAATTTTCTTCTTCCATTACCATGCCCATCAAGACCGGTGGGTTTTCGAGGAAACCTAGAAAGTCATTGATTACTGGGTTTAACCGAATATGTAGAGGGGAGCTCCCCGGGCGAGTTCCAGTAATTCACGGCTGAATGCGTTTGAAGAAACAATTCGGTTATGCACATTGTTAGTCGTCTTTACTACTCTTATCTGTTGGTTTTTGATTGGTCTATTCTGTAAACTTCCTCGTTTCTTAGATTGAGTCCTGCAGTCCCTTCGCTGACAGTCGAAAGATTATGTACACCAAAGTGTTCGCTTACCTTCGAGGTCGTTGTGCGTTGGGCGCGCTGTCTCTTTGTTCACCCTTCAAAGGTTGCTAGCTACTACTCGAGTGGTTGTACGGTGTTGAATCGGGACTCGGTCGTGTTTTGTGGGGATACTCACTTGCTGAACTGTGCAAATTCACTAAGGTAGATCGAAATATGTCCAGTATTAACATGTCGCTGTTACGAAGAACACTTTATCCTTATTATACTCCTCTGTTTGATGAAGGATTTCATCAATTTGCATACACCCTTTAGAAGGTGCGTATTCTGAAAACCTGATCGACGCACACACGGGCATATTATCTTCTGTGTTCGGTACGTTCAGGTTATCCGATCTCACACGCATCTAAATTTTGATTACTGACAATAATGTCAGTAGTCACTAGCTATTTTCCGTAGACGATGCTATCTGAAAAATTTTGACAGATCATTCTTTTGAATAGGCAACTATTATTAGTATCGATACTTTTCGATGATAAATACTAAATCGCGTGATAGAAGTAGAAAGTTATTGACATCAGGATTGCCCAGTTTGTAATATATCAGTTGATATGAACTCGAGTTCCACGAACAAGCCGGTCACATTAGTCGAGCTGGTTTCAGCATATTAATGTAATGCTCTAATTTATTGGTGACATTTTTATTGAAGGCTATTGTACACTGCATAGTTGGCACTCTACTGCGGGCAACTATGGAAGCACCCAGTTCAAACTGAATTAACATTGGTTAGGATTATATTTGGTGGTTTTTAGTCTCATTGTCGTTGATTCCAACGGAGGGATTATAAAATTTCAGGTAATTGAAGGATGGGTATTATCAATCGAATGCCGACGTTTCCTGTGCAAACATGGATGGATTTTTTGACTTCGTTAGGAGTACAATCTATTGCGTTTTACAGGACGTCCTTAGATGAAGAGAACAGTCAAGAGACACTTAAAAACTTATGATGAAATGCACTGTAGTACAAACCGCACTCGCGTTCGGAAGGCGTAGTTCATTGAAGAGCAAGACAAAACTGTAGAAACATTGCAGGGCAAAGAAATAGCGAGCGGAAACCATAGTTATTCTACAAGGTGATGGTTATCACACACACACACACCTGTCAGAAATCTATAGATACAGGTCGCTCAGTGCGGTTACATTGCAGTCTGCACTGGTCAATACTGTCCCAGAACGTAAACTTAACCCGGGAAATGTATTACGTGGGAAAGGATTGGTGTTTTGGTTACAAAAGGGCAGTATATGGTGTTGAAGCTTTGCATCACTTAGCTTATTTTCCTTGACGAATTGATCTACCGGAATGTATTGCTTAATCATGGGATTACAAAACCTGAATATCGGACCTAGAATAGGGCACCATATCAGGCTGATCAACAAAATGACAGACTGAATGTCTTGGTGGTGGTGGCCCATTGGTTTAGTCACTGTCACAGGCGTGCTTTGGATCCTATAGTCCGAGGTTCGAGCCCCGCCAACCAAAACTTTATTGGTAGGCAGCTTTGATGTCGTCCGGTTCAGTACCACGCCTAACCTATCGGGGCCTTATTTGGTTCACCACTTCAAGTCCAGGGGCTTAGGTTACCGGTTTCCATCAATCAACAGCAGATCCCTGTGACTATGTTGTTTACCCAGTCTGCTGTTCATCACACAAAAGTGTGTAATAAAAAGTTAGTTTGCAACTGCGGTGTCGCAGACATGTCGGCATTCACAGCAAATAGTCCAACATGTTGCATTGTATTGTAGTTATAACTTCTCTAGGCGTAAAACGTACATTTCAGTCAAATGTGTACGAAGGAGGAAAAAATACAAGTTTAGTTCCGAAAATCTTCACATAATCTGTGAAAACTTGTTCTCTGTTAACTAGACTGCATGCTACGAAGGGTATCCTTAAGTGGCGGATATATGGAATCCATAAGTATCTTATGTGCAAACGTTTCACATGGATTCAAATGACGTTCTCACAGGTTGGTTATCAACTCCTACAGCGGGATTGAATACATACGGCTAATGATGGCGTGATGATGATGCTTGTTCTTGGTCTCATGAAAATGTCAAAGGGAACTGGTTCCCTGTAATGCTGGTCAGTCCACACCGAAGCAGTTTAAAGTCTTTCTTTAGGAGATTGGAAAAACAACAGGTGAACAAGAAAGTAAAACGAGGAAACACGAGGATAAACGAATTTGGAGATAATCCATTGTTGAGAAATAATTAATAAAAAAATGTATTTTTACTTCCATTTTATTTATTGAATATACAAATTTACAGTTAATTTTAAGGAAGGGGGCCTCGAACATACAGTGGCTGCTTGTGAAAATACAGAAAGGGCGAGAAGACGGGCAGCGGTGGAGCGATTCGAACTCAGAACTTCCGGGTCACTATTTCGATGACCGTAACCCCTTGGCCACCACCAAAGTTCGAGGTGGTTGATAAAATCAATGACGCGACCCTCATTTGATAGTCTTCTATTGGTCACATGAATTTAGAGGTTCTCAATTAAAAAAAAACTATGAAAACGAGGCACAATTGATCCTGTTCCCCCCCATTGACTATTGACTAATCATCCTATCAAACATTTGGCCTGGAGTGAATCGGTGACAGTTCCGTCGAATCAGACAATAGTGGGCCCCTCGTCAAAACCTATTGACGTAATCAATTCACTTGGAGCTTGCATTTTATTTACACATCTACCAGTCCTTCTCTGTCTGTACTTGTTTGTTCACTATGATTCATCAATTCAATAGGGTCATGCATAACTCAAATTGATTCACATTGACAATTGAGAAGACCGAACGAAATTTTACTCTCGCAACATTTCACTATTCAGTAACCTCGGAGGGATTCGAACCCATGCATGGACGCTGCCTACGCTTTTGTACAGCGCACGCTCTACCGGCTGAGCTACCAGACCACACCAATGGCACTGATCTTTTCATATACGAATCACCCATCCAACTTACAGAGGCATATGGCGTGCATGCGGTGTCCATCTGTGGGTTTGAATCCCTCCGAGGTCACTGAGCTTTTCATAATCCGAAAATAAAACTTAAATCTGCCAAAGAAGCATTTCATTATTCGGTAGCAACTCACTTCGATGTGTGAATAAACTAACTATACATACACATCTATATAGCTCGCAGAACTGTTTGTTCTGAAATACCACCTGTCTGGCATCGGGAGAGATGAAAAAAGTCACACTATGCTCATTTATTTCTCTCGAGCCTGTGTGTGTGTGTGTCTGTGCGTGCCTGAATTTGCACACATCCGTGCACTTGGCAGGGAATCATTCGTTTGTATTTTGTGTTTTGTTTTGTTATGGTGTACGAAAACACACCGATAATAGTGATCATACTGGCACTATCGATCTGCCCATGGCCTCGTTCCACGCAAAACGGCACTGATTACCGGCATTCCAAACTCACCGCGATATTTTACCTACGCGCGAGCGCAAAACGGATTGGTAGTTGCATTCACTGTGCGAATTAAGCTGTTATTCTGTAAAAGATGGTAATTATCTGTTGACAAAATATTGAAAATTGGTTCTCGTAGCCTGCGTGAACTGAATTCCATTTCGCCTGTTTGTCGAGCTTGTTTGCAAACGTTTCATCAGCCGAGGTGACATCATCAGTGCTTGTGGCAGTGTGGCAGTGTTCTGCTTGTACCCGTTCATTTATATGTGTTCTTCTCCACCGACTATTTTCGGCCCCCGGTTCTCACTGTGTTCAACTCGGTTCGCCGTTAATCTGGTGTGAGGGGATAAGAGTGGAAAGGGGTTGTCCTTCTACCCTGATTGCGGCTTCGGTCCACTCTCAGGTCAGGGCGTGGCCTTCTTTTGTTGCATCATTTGATCCTTGGGTTGCATTGGCGTGTACA